GCCCCCATCACCTGCTGTGTCCCTCCTCTGTGCCACTCCTCCTCCCTCAAAGGCCCCCTGCCTATTGATCACTGCGTCATTCTACCCCTCCCGCCCCGAGAACCCCCACTCCCCTCCTCCACCCCCACTGCCTGCTGAATCCCTTCCCTCCCCCAGGTCTCCGCTGCCTGCCACTCACCACATCCCTCCTCTCCTTCACCCTCCCTTCCCCAAAGGCCCCCCTGCCTGCCTGTTGCTTGCTGGAGCGTGGCCGCGCGGCGCACCTTCCGGGAGCCGCGTTGTGCGGCCCCTGTCCCTGCGCACGGCCGGAGCGGGACAAGCCCCAGACCCTGCTCCACAGTGCCATAGTTTGCCCACCCCGTTAGTGCATCTGGCTTCAAATCAGTGCAGACTGGGACAGTGCAAGGAGGGACGAGACCCCACACAGCCACACACACTGCAGAGGGGCAGCAGTATGAGCCAAAGTCAGATAGTTGTTAATGGGAAAAGGTTAAAGACATCTGGACTTCCCATGCTGATCGGCAGTTAACAAGTCTGGTACCAGTCCTGCCACAGAACCGCCAAGGTACGCGCGTGGTGACACTGCACGATTAGAAAAAGGAACTGAACAGAACAAGTAAAGTGTTACCTTGTTTCAACCTGCAACTGAGTGGGTGCTCTGACCCGAGAGCCTGTCGCGCTGGTCTGGCTAGAAGCTTCTAGCTGCTGCACAAGGAAGTGGTTAGAGGAAACAGAACACCCAATGATGAGACACTAGCCTTTTCCTGTAACTCTCTGCCCCGGATTATTTATTATAATCATTTGGCTGCATCCAGGCTTTTCTCCAGAAACAGCAAATAAACTAGTGCATCGGGGCAGCACTAGAGGCCATCTGGGCTCAATAAAGTTCCCCTGGGGGACATCAGGTTTAGCTGGCTGGTTTAGCTGAGTTATGGCTGCTGTGTTTCCTTGGAGCAGCCGGCATGTGTTTGTGAACCTGACTCATTATCTATTGCCTCCCCCTTCATCCCCCTGTGAGTCTGTACACCTGGGGGCAAACTCAGGTAGGGATCTGTGTAGCCCATTTGCTACAAGGGGTGATGATGGATCCCACTCACCAGCTTCAGGGATCTGATGTGCAGCCATTACATCTTCTCTTTCCTCTTTCCTTGGTCTTGACGAGCGCTCTCTCCTCGCACATTGTCTGGGGCACCTGTAGATGCTACTGTAACACACAATGAATGTTGGCTTCTGCCCCAAGGAACTGGCCCAAACCCCTGAGCCACTGGACACTTGCTGCATTCACCAGCTTCATCAGCGGCTTCCAAAGAAGCAGTGAGCCCCCAGTTTACCAGTTCCAGCTCAGCTCCCAACTCCATTTAACTCACAGCACTTGCATTTGTTTATAGTGAAATTAAGGATACGGTTATTTAACAAAGCCCAGAGATTCACGTAATAGCATGTAGATGTGCTGGCAACAAATGGATGGTTACATCCAACATAAAATCAAAACACCCATCCTAGAGCCTAGACTTGCTTAACAAGTTACCTTCTTGGCTGATAAGATAGTTCTCACCCAAAAATCCTTCTCACAGCACTGTACAGCCAAGCTGGCTGGGACCCTCCTTTCAGAAGATACACACACTGGCAGCTTGGCTTCTAGGTGAAGGATCTCCCTTCCTCCCCAAGCTATGCCAGTCCCTTCCTTTGATGTCAATCATAAGCAAGCAAGCCCCTGCTGATTGTTTTTTTCATGTAGCTTTTCTCTCTTGAACATTTTGCAATCTTTTGCCTGGCACTTGGCTCTGTCTGCAAATGGGCACAGAGCGCGAGGCAGACAACACACAGCTAGCCAGACAGGGAGCTAGGCATCCCTTGCCTCACACCAGGGGCTCTTGATGCCACCAAAGAGACCCATGACCAGGTCTCCTGAGCCCCACCATAGGGTCTTAGTCATGCCCTGGGAGCTCTAGCTGGATCTCAGCCCTGCAAAAGGGACACCTGATGTCACCCCAGGGGAACTTGATTAGACCCAGATGGCCTCCAGTGCTGCCCTTGACACCCTAGTTTATTTGCTGTGTCTGGGTGAAAAAACCTGGGTGCAGCTGAATGGTTAATAAATAATCTGGGGGAAGTAGTTACAGGCAAAGGCTAATCTAGTTATTGGATGATGCTCTGGTTGCTCTACTTCCTGGTGCAGTAGCTAGATGTGTCTTGCCAGATCAGAGCTATGGGCTCTCCCGTCACACCACCCACCCAGTTGCCTTCGTAGCGCTTGAAACAAGATAATGCTTTATTTTCTGTTCCTTTCTCTAACTGCGTAGTGTCACCACACATGTACCATGGTGGTTTGTGACAAAGTTGGTACAAGACTTGTTAACTGCAGATCAGCGCAGCAAGTCCAGATAAGAGCATACACATAACAGCAGCCATACCGGGCCAGCCCACAGTCCATCTTGCCTGACATCCCGGCTCCGACTGTTGGGATTTTCCAGTGTATACCTGGGGTGTCCAGTCTACCCCAATAAAGTTCAGGAGTCAACACTTTAACTGAAAGTACCTTTATTAGTCCAAAGGTTGATCAGCACTTGTTCAGTGTAAAACTGATATAAGTGGGATCAGAATCAGACACAGAGGTTAGCAAGGGCTTTGGGCTCTTTCATAATGATAAGTATAAATGTCTGACTGTTATAATACAAACCCTCTAGGAAACATCCGCACTTACATGCTTGGAAAATGTGCCTAAGTTAGATATGGGTGGATCTGAAAGGGACAAACACATAGAAGGGCAACAGCAAGAATTAGGGAGAAACAGCCCTTCCTCCAGTCCATTAAGGTGGAAAAATGGGAGTAGACATGTCCAAGCCATAGAGTACAGTAGCTAGAAGACCACAAGAAAAATGACACTGAACAAACTGCAAGGCATCTACTGCCGAACCTCTGCCTGGATGGTAAAAATACAGTGGCTCAATTTATCTCATTTCCTTTGGAGCTAAGGTCCAAATTTAGGGTGGGGTTTTCAAAAAGCACCTAAGTGACCAATCAAAGTCAGTGAGATTTGTGCTCCTAAATTACATAGGTGCTTTTGAAAATTCCACCCAAGACGATTAAATCATGGTAATCAGCCTCTCTGAACTCTAAAACCAGAGATTCACCCTACACAAGAGGTAGTATATCAACAAGCTATTTAATGCTCTGAAGTGTGTAGTCTATGTTAATAAAAGTTAGGGTTTACCAAGCTTAACGCACACATACAGTCTCAGTGAAAGACGTATTCCCAGAATAAATAAATACAATGTAAGTCCGGAAAGGGTGAGAAGAAAAGATAAGAATATTGAGGGTGTGATAAGATTTACGAAACAGAGGTCCGGTTTTAATCTCTGCTGCAATCTTCAGTGCTAGTTATCTCCACCAGAGGGAGCCAAAGTACAATAAATAATAGTTACCAGCACTCTGGGTTAGCCTGAGTTATTTTTGAAGGTTTGATAGTGAAAGTGAGGGGCTCCCCATATTCAGTTTGTGTACGTATATAATTTTAACACCCTCCTTTTACTAAATACAGGAGAGACAAATTCTGTCCTCAGTTACACACATACACCCCAGTGGAGACTGGTGAGCCACACTAGTGCCATAGGGCAAAATTTGGCCCATTGTATTTAGCAGCAACTCTCCCTTACTGAAAGGAGAATCACTGATGGTGAACTATCCCCTTGACAGGGCATAAGAACGGCCATACTGGGTCAGACCAATGGTCCATCTAGCTCAGTATCCTGTCTTCTGACAGTGGCCAATGCCAGATACTACAAAGGGAATGAACAGAACAGGTAATCATCAAGTGATCTATCCTGTTGTCCAGTCCCAGCATCTGGCAATCAGCAGTTAAGAGACACCCAGAACATGGGGTGGCATCCCTGATCAACATGGCCAATAGCCATTGATGGACCTATCCTCCAGAATCGTATCTAATTCTTTCTTGAACCCAGTTATACTTTTAGCTTTCACAACATCCCCTGGCAATGAGCTATACAGGTTGATTGTGCATGGTGTGAAGTACTTCCTTATGTTTGAAACCTGCTGCTTATTAATTTTATTGCATTACCCCCTGCTTCTTGTGCTATGTGAAGGGATAAACAACACTTCCTTATTCACCTTCTCCACACCATTCATGATTTTGTAGCCATCTATCATATCCCCCTTAGTCGCCTCTTTTCCAATCTGAACAGTCCCAGTGTTTTTACTCTCGCCTCATATGAAAGCTGTTCCATGTCCTTAATCATTTTTGTTGCCTTTCTCTTTACTTTTTCTAATATATCATTTTTTGAGTATTCAAGGTGTGGGCGTACCATGGATTTATATAGTGGCATTATGATAGTTACTGTCTTATTATTTATCCCTTTCCTAGTGGCTCCTAACTTTGTTAGCTTCTTTGACTGCCCCTGCACATTGAGTGGACGTTTTAAGAGAAATGTCCACAGTGACTCCAAGATCTCTTTCTTGAGTGGTTACAGCTAATTTAGACCTCGCTCCCATCATTTTGTATGTCCAGTTGGGATTACGTTTTCCAATGTGCATTACTTTGCATTTATCAACAATGAATTTCATCTGCCATTTTGTTGCCCAGTCACCCAGTTATGTGAGATCCCTTTGTAACTCTTCGCAGTCTGCTTTGGACTTAACTATCTTGAGTAATTTTTTGTATCATCTGCAAATTTTGCCATCTCACTATTTACTCCTTTTTCCAGATCATAGGGGACACCACTATTTACCTCTCTCCATTCTGAAAACTGACCATTTATTTCTACCCTTTGTTTCTTATCTTTTAACCAGTTACTGATCCATGAGAGGACCTTCCCTCTTATCCCATGACTCCTTACTTTGCTTAAGAGCCTTTGGTGAGGGACCTTGTCAAAGACTTTCTGAAAGTCCAAGTACACTATATCCACTGGATCACCCTTGTCCACACATTTGTTGACCCCCTTCAAGAATTCTAATATAGTGATGAGGCACGATTTCCCTCTACAAAAGCCATATTGACTCTTCCCCAACAAATAATGTTAATCTATGTGTCGCTAATTCTGTTCTTTTACTAAAGTTTCAACCAATTTGTCCGGTACTGAAGTCAGGCTTCCTGGCCTGTATTTGCCAGAATCGCCTCTGGAGCCATTTTTAAAAATTGGCATCACGTTAGCTATCCTCCAGTCATCTGGTACAGAAGCTGATTTAAATGATAGTAACTTATTACTGTTTAATTTATCTATTTGTTCCAAAACCTCCTGTACTGACACCTCAATCTGGGACAGTTCCTCAGATGTATCACCTAAAAAGAATGGCTCTGGTGTAGGAATCTCCTTCATCCTCTATAGACCAATGCAACAAATTCATTTAACTTCTCTGCAATGGCCTTGTCTTCCTTGAATGCTCCTTTAGCATCTCAATCATCCAGCGACTCCACTGATTGTTTGGCAGGCTTTCTGCTTCTGGTGTACTTAAAAAAAAATTGCTGTTAGTTTCTGAGTCTTTTGCTAGTTGCTCTTCAAATTCTTCTTTGGACTGCCTAATTATACTTTTACATTACTTTTACTAACACCTGCTTTACTAACAGTCAGAATCACCCTGGGGAGTATTTTGCATGTAGCCATGTGAGAATAAAATCTCTGCTCAAGAAGTCATATTGAAATCAAAGTCTGTTACCCGAAAAATTGCAAACATCTTGCAATTATTTGATGAAAGCTTATATGTAATTTTAATATGAAATAAATTTTAAGTAGTTGAAGCTGTTTACAGCAAATGTAACCAGTTGTTAAAATATAATGAGTATCCAAAAAATTATAAGGCACACCCAGTTGTAGTCAATATAATAAGTTAGCCTGGGCCAAAAATAATACAAAGAAATTCAACTCAGAATTCAGTCCTCCAGTCACTGAACTAAAAAAAACCTGTAAGTACCATGACAGCGCTATTTAAAGTAACCATCAACCAACACAAAGAGAGAGAACAAGGATATATACAATGCTAAAGATGGGATGTTATTAAACGGACATACGTATATTTAGCAATGTTTTAGCAAAGCCAAGTTATGTTTTTGATACAAACAATTTAAATGTCATTTATAGTTTTCTTTTCAATTTATTTTTCACATCACAGAAAATGTCCATCTCATTTTTAATCCAATATACCGAGTAGCCTGAAGTGCCAGGAATGAAGTCATGTAGTTCCCCAAGGTATTTCTTCATCTCACTAGAAGAGACATAACCTACAAAGTGAAAATGTATATATATATATATATATAAACACCACAGAAACTACAGCACTCGGGCCAGTCTTTTTTACTGGACTTTCTGGAGTGTGGAATGAATATCCACAAAATATTGTTGATATGGGGTGGGGGAGAATCACAGACAAAGTATCACAAACACAGAAATCCCTGGTACTTTATTACTATTTTCAGTGAGATTACATCAAATATTATATAATATATTTCAGAGAAGAACACTTTGTTGGGAAATACATGAAGCTCCTGAAGCTCTGCCATCATTTCCCCAGGGAAAGCAAGCACAGGATTGCAAATGTTATCAAATCATTAATAGTATGCGCACAAGTTAAAGAAAGGCTTTTTCACTGGTGCAAATTGGAGAGAAAGAATCTTTATACTGGGAGTGATGTCCTTGGACAATCCTTCTCTCTACCCCATCGGGTGCACACTGAATGGTTCCTATGCATTAATGTAGTCTTGTTTGAAGAGTACTATGTTAATGCAAGCTAGGAATCTTTTAGTTTGCATCTGCAGCGTTCACACAGGAGTGCTACAGTGCAGCACTGGTATGCACTGCTATTCGTACCCCCATAGGCCAAACTGTTGGGCAATGTAGACATAGGCTTAGTATAGTGTGGGAATGAACTTGTCTACTAGGATAGAAATTCATTTCTGTGCAGAAAAGACAGGACCAAGCCTATGTATCACTTTAGTCCTGCTTAAGCCTTCAAAATAGAATTTAAGTTGCCCATAGGGTTGGCCCTCTGCACAGGGGTGAATTTCACAGTAGGTGAATTATACTGAAAATAATTAATACATGAAAAATATTGTAATAGAACCCCATACTGCACTTACCAGATTCAGGAATCTCTGATAATGATCAACTAAGAAAAGGGGCAGCCATAACACATCCTCCAGAAGGATACCTAGATAATGTGAACTTTTTCTTATCATCAGCATCTAATGACAAACCCTAAAGTGCTCATGAAACTAGATGGATATCAGAAGCACAGGTGAGCTCCCAAAGGGTAAAAAAAATGGCAAATACAGCTCCTATTTTTAGTAGGGGAAAAGGTGGATCCAGGGAGTAACTAGACCAGGGGTCAGCAACCTTTAGGAAGTGGTGTGCCAAGTCTCCATTAATTTAAGGTTTTGCGTGCCAGTAAAAGGTTTCGCATGCCAGACCGGCAGCGCGGACGGCAGATGGAATACCAGACCGGCAGCGGGCTGAGCGGGGCCAGCGGCAGGGCAACAAACTACTGCCACTAAAAATCAGCCCACGTGCCGCCTTTGGCACACTTGCCGCAGGTTGCCGACCTCTGTACTAGACAGTCATTTTAACTTTGATGCAACATCTGATAA